GAGGTCGGAAAGCGTAGATTCTTCCTCCCCGTCACTGTCTACCTCGGTCACCAGCAGGGACGCCATGGAAGCTGGAACTGCCGCCTCTTTCCACTCCTTCAGCAGATTGACGTGGTAGGTCTGCTTCGCTTTCCTCTTCTCTGGGTGGTGGATCTCGTAGGTCACAGGGCCCATCTTCCTGACCACAGAGTATGGCCCCTGCCACTTCGCCAGAAGCTTGTGGGTGGACGATGGCAGGAGTAGCAGGACCTTCTGACCGGGCTGGAACTCGCGATGTCGGGCCTGTTGGTCGTACCACGCCTTCTGGGACCGCTGGGCAGCGCGTAGGTTGACCTCCGCCTCCTCCCGATACTTGGCCAGCCGATCACGCATCTCCAACACAAACTGGACAATATGGCGATCGCTGGTGGTCGAGGCGGGAGCCTCCCAGGCCTTCAGTAGCAGGTCTAGCGGACCCTGGACATCCCATCCATAGAGCAGCTCGAACGGGGAGAAACCGGTGGAGGCTTGGGGTGCCTCTCGGTAGGCGAAGAGCAGGTAGGGTAGCCACTGGTCCCAGTCCCGTCCGGTATCGGCCACGAATTTCTGCAGCATCCTCTTCAGCGTCTGGTTGAACCTCTCGACCAAACCGTCAGTCTGTGGGTGGTACGGGGTGGTCTTGATCGCAGAGATTCCCAGCTGGCGGTGGAAGAGCTGCATCAGGCGGGAGGTGAAGTTGGTCCCCTGGTCCGTCACAATCTCGTCCGGGACCCCAACCCTGGAAAACAACTGAACAAGACACCGCAGCACAGCAGGGGCAGTAACGGTGCGCAAGGGGAACGCCTCGGGGAACCGTGTGGCATAATCGCAGAGGACCAGGATGTACTGGTGGCCTCCACTGCTCCGAACTAAGGGCCCTACAATGTCCATTGCTATGCGGCGAAATGGGGTGGAAATGACAGGCATAGGTTGGAGGTACGCACGGTCAGATTGGCGAACAAAACTAGTTTTCTGGCAGACAGGACAGAATTTACAGTAGTTTTGGACATCTGTATACATAGACGGCCAATAAAACCTCGAGGCTATGCGTAAATGGGTTTTGTTGCGGCCCAGATGACCAGCCCAAGGCAAGGTGTGTGCCAGGTGCATAATCATTGGCCGGCAGGACACAGGCACCACGAGGCGCTTGACACCGTCTGCCACTGCATACAAAATAGCACTGTCAACAATAAAACAATCCTTGTCCCCCTTTGCCATATCTAGTCCCCCAATCACTTTCGCAAACAGTGATTTTAATGTTGCGTCCGCTCTTTGCACTGCCCCAATGTCCGCCGGAACTTCCCACAAAAAGTCCTGACAGTTTGGCTCTGCCCGCTTTAGCCCTTTCTCGAAGCGCCGCTGCTTGCGACACTTTCTTGGCCCCTTTGTTCCCCCTTCAAATAAACTAGAGTCCAATGTGGAAAATGGCTCAAGTTCAGGCTCTGGTACTCTCTGAACTGGGACTGGCTTACCCCCCGCTTTAGCCTGTGAACGAGTAATCACCAGTCCAGAAAACCCCCTTCCACAGTCACTGTCCTTGGGTCCCTCTTCCCGCAGTATGTCCAACAGCACAGGTATATCCCAACCCAAAATAGCTGCTACAGGTAACCCTTCTACCACCCCCACAGTCAATAAATAGGGCTGCTTATTGACCACTAGTGTGAGTTCTGCTGTTGGGTATACTGCGGGAAGAGGGACCCAAGGACAGTCGACCCAGCCTTTCTTCTAATTCTTTAAATAACCAATATAAAATTAAACCTCAACACAAAACAGACAGCCCTAATTTCCACGCAATATTATAACAAGGAAAAAGAAGCAGAGAGACGTGTTTGTGACAGATTTTCTTTTCACAATTTCACAACAAAATTTCCCCATTGTGGGACGAACAATAAAGGAACTCTTATCTAATGTTGGTTAATCAAACAACCAAAAGCGTAACAAGTCAGTTCGCTTACTTGAATGTATCTGCAATGTATTAAAAATCTCCCATTTGCTGACCATTTGAGATCCAAACACCTAATCAGCTACTAGAAAGAATAATCAGCTTTTTCAATGACAGTGTGATTTGACTTGAAGAGTAATCAGGGACACGACTCGACTAATGCCATCGATTGGAGTTGTGTCCCGAGGTCCTCGTTATATGTTTTCTCACTGCTTGGGTGGATGTGAGCAGCATCACTGTCTCCTTTCTGCCTGTTTTCCTCTGTCTTTGCCCTCCCACACACACAAACACGCACACTCACACACGCATACACACACAAGGAGTACACACACAATAACATGTGTTTTTGCCGCTTGCCAAACAACCATTAAATGTCTCGCAATAAATGAATTATTGAGGTTTCTGTTATCGCACCAGCGTAACTCCTCACCTCTGGGAAGCCTCTGGATGTGCAGTGTTTTAATCAGTGTGATTTAAACATGTAACTGGATCAACATGATATGAGCGATTATGTGAATTGTCATGAGGGTTTGTAACAGATAGCAGACCTGGCAGGAATACCAGTTTAACATGTGCAATGCGTGTTAAGATGGTTTTTACAGAGGATTTTAGAAAATGGACCACTGTTTTTCTACCATGGCCTTGTGGTAATAACTTCCAGAGAAGAGAAGAACAAATGAACAAAATGTTGGGTGCACCAAGGGCAAACTTGTTCAGTTTAAAGAGGAAAAAAGGGAGCTTTATCAATTTCTGTCATAAATTGGTGTAACTACTGAAGTTTTAATGAAAGAAAAACCTTTTTTAAACGAGGGTCATTGTGAATAATAATTTACTTTCAGTCTAGAGACAAAAAATCTGTGAAAGATTAGGATTAAGATTAGGGGATCCTTTATCTATCTCACAGTGGGAGAATGTCAGTGTTGCATCACAATATTAGAAATGAGGAGCACAAAGCACACAATAAATGAATAATAACTCTATACTAAATAAACATAATCTGTTATAAAATGCTGATATAATTGAGTGGCACAGACGGACCCTTTTTTACAGCAGGCCATTTATGACCTCCAGGGGGCGATCCCATCCAGTGCCCATGATACGCTTATGATCAGGTCAAACTTTTTCACAAACAATTCAGAACTCTCCAAATTGATGCGTGATCCCAAACTGACATGTGGCTATTTACTTAGTGCACTATTTCACCTTTGGAATGGTGTAAGTCAGGGGTCTCAAACCGGTTCCAGAAAGGGCCGGAGTGGCTGCAGGTTTCGTTCCAACCAAAGCAGGAGCAGAGCAGACTCCACCCATTTCCTCAAGGCTTCAGGTTAAACTGGACTCACCTGAGGAAACGGGTGGAGGTTGGTGTGCTCCTGCTTGGGTTGGATTTAAAACCTGAGGAGTTAATCAAGAGATAATGATAATTTAGTTGTTTTTGAGGTTACTTGTCAACCCGATTTGGTGCTGACAGAAAATGTTGTGAAAAGGTTAGTGTATAAAAGGTCAAAGTACCGGCAGGTTACCCCAGGGCAGCTACAACAGTGCAATAATACCCTAACCCTAATACACTAATACAAATACTATACCAATATTAACTTTTGTTTGTTTCAGCCATATAAACATGATCTCAAAAAAGTACTAAAACTTTTATTTTTGTTATGTCACCTCTGTATGTGTGAGTGATACTGACCCCCCCCCCCCCCCCCCCCCCTCCAAGACAAAAAAAAAATTCTTTGGGAGACGACATAATAAATGAATCGTAATCTGAATCTGAAGTGGAAAACACAGACATTTGTATCTAACAAGTTCAAGATGAGAAAAAAATCCCCATCTAGGATTCCCATATAGTGGAAAAAGTGGGAGAGAGAACAATTTGAAGGCATGGAGTTGTAATGAATGCCATTTGACAGAACATAATACATAGTTAGCTTTCTTTTAAAAGGCTGAAAACCGACCTGCCCATAGTAGCCGGGACAAGTACTGTTACGAGACAAAGTAGTAGAGGTTGATTGACCAATATTACTGAACAAAATTATTAAAATCCATGAAAAATAAATCTTGTTCTTTGTTTTAAAGTGACACCTGTCAACATTCAAATACACAAGAAATCCTTCAAATAGTTGTATGTTTGATGAAGTGGATTTTTCTGCTTGAAGGCTAAACTAACATGAAAATATGTTGCGAGCACCAAGGGCAAACAACTTCAGTTCTGACGCAATGCTGAAATTATGTTCCGAAACTGTAATTTTATAAATGGAAAAGCTTTCATTTTTCTTTGGAATAAAAACATGATAAATTGGCTATTCGGATAAATAAGTAAGTATTGAAAGACACCTTCAGTAACCTATAATTATACATACAGTTTTAACTATAGCAGTGTTTATTATTGACGTGTTCTGGTTGATCTAAATACAGTGCTTTTTACATACTATAAAAGTTAGCTGAGTTTTGGGATTAAATGGCACAGTAGGGATAAACACAGCTTCAGGGTCCACATCAAGAGAGGAGGCATAATCCATTTTATTTTGATTTTTTTATTGCAATTTCTTCGGCATCTTATAACCTAAAAGTTTCGTCTGCTATGTGCTAATTAAGACATTCCCAACAGATACCTACCGTCATGTGGCACTAGGCTGGTAATTAGCTGGTTACTTTTGTTACATTTATTTGTGATACAAAAGATAAATATTGGATCACTGTTTGATACAGAAATATGCGTGTCCTTGATTTTAATTATGCTTCACTCTTGGATGTGTCAGCTTAGTTTCCTGGTGCATATTAGCTAATACTTTTAATCCGTGCACCTGAGAGCGCTGAGTGGATATAACACAGCCATGTTTGTTAATGATGCGAAACTAAAGCCATCAGGAACCGAACCACCTATGATTTCTGTCTCTCATGTTTCCTTCATTACTTTTTGGTAATATTAACAAATGTTTGATTGAAATTATTACTAATCACCACAAATACAGATGAAAATATTCTAAAACTATTCAGACAAGGGCAAATTTCTCTGTCTTTGTGGTAAGTAGGGATAGACGCTATGGAAGAATCAGAATGGAAGATCAAAGAGACGTCATGCTGCGACACTGACCCCTCCCTCTGCACTGACCCCTCCCTCTGCACTGACCCCTCCCTCTGCACTTACCCCTCCCTCTACACTTACCCCTCTCTCTGCACTTACCCCTCCCTCTGCACTGACCCCTCCCTCTGCACTGACCCCTCCCTCTACACTTACCCCTCCCTCTACACTTACCCCTCCCTCTGCACTTACCCCTCCCTCTGCACTGACCCCTCCCTCTACACTGACCCCTCCCTCTACACTTACCCCTTCCTTTGCACTTACTCCTCCCTCTGCACTGACCCCTCCCTCTGCACTGACCCCTCCCTCTACACTTACCCCTCCCTCTACACTGACCCCTCCCTCTACACTGACCCCTCCCTCTACACTGACCCCTCCCTCTAGACTGACCCCTCCCTCTACACTGACCCCTCCCTCTACACTGACCCCTCTCTCTACACTGACCCCTCCCTCTGCACTGACCCCTCCCTCTACACACCTGTACCTGAGCTCAACAGCAATCTGTGGCCCTGTCCCAATACTCGCTCTTCCACCCTCGCGCCCCTCATTTGCGCGTTCCCGATATGATGGGTGCGAGTGCGTAGGGTGTCCCAATTCTCCAGGGAGGGTTTTGGCCCCGCCCCCTTTGCGCCCCTGATCCACACTTTGCTGCAGCCTGCATCTAAGCGGACTCTGGCGAAGGATATTGCCCATAATTCTTTGCGGTACACACCGAAACGTCGGGAAAATGCATGTAAGTGTAATTTTTGAAATATTTATGCTGTATGTGTGTTAATAAGTTTTGCTATGTTACGTGGAAAGCAGCATAAATGTATTCACGGACATTCTATGCTAACAATTTCATCACTTTTTTTAATGCAAGCTTTCATATAACATTCCATTTAAACTTTACACTTAGTACAATAAACTTAGAGTGTATAAAAACTAGTGCTGTCCAAAATATCGCGTTATTAACGCGTTAACGCAAATCAATATTAACGGCGTCATTTTTTTTATCGCGCGATTAAAAAAAAATATATTTTTTTTTTATTGCAGACAAACACATATACAGAAAAAAAAATAGAAACAAAGAAAAGGACTAGTTCAGATACATTGTAGACAGAGATTACAAACAATATGTAGTTGGAGATACAGGGGGCCAAAGAAGAAACCCAGAAGGGCACATAGGAGGGGGGGGGGGGGGACATGAAGTGGGAGATGGGGGGGAGGGGTTAATAAAAAAGGCAATACAAGCAAACAGTATACAGTCATAGATATACCGAAAGTAAACAGAGAAACAGCATAGAGTATTTACATGAACAAATATACAAAATATTAAAAAAAGCAATTGCACACAGCACGCCTATTCACTTTTTAGTAGTATTAAAATGATTATTCAAGGGACATAAAGAATAGATACAAATGTGTGACTAATTTGCGATTAATCGCGAGTTAACTATGAAATTCATGCGATTAATCACGATTAAATATTTTAATCGTTGGACAGCACTAATAAAAACTTAAAGATAACAGTTAGTTACCCACATTTAACGTAAAACTATACAGTTATCTCAAGTTACGAATAACCAATATACATTTATTTTAACATGTGTGGAGCAACTCATTAACCACTACTTTTGTTTCCCACAGGGCCGGACGAAATGACCTTTAATTCTATAAAGTTTAGGTCTGAAAATGACCATCTCTTGACTAGTCGATGACGTAACCTGCACTCAGTGTGTACTGTCCCAATTCCACCTTTTTTTGCACGCTTGTAACCTGCGCACTCAAACCCTTGCACTTCAAACAAATGCACACTTGGTAGAGGAGTGTAGAGCAGTGTGGTATTGAGACAGGGCCTGCTTCAGCTGCTCAGTAACGCACCTGTGCTCATCACTTCATGGCAGCATTTAAACACCCCCCTCCTCCCCATCTCCGCCTCTTCAGTGGAGTATCATGTCATGGCTTCGGCTCAGCTTTCTTCGGCCCCGGGTTCTAGGCGCCGGGGTTGAAATCTCATAATTTTTAGTAAACTCCCTTCAGAATACGCCATGCAGTATTCCTGCCGTGGTCTAATCGCCAATCCTAATGCGATACATTTATAACTACTCAATCTAATGGGGCGTTCAAACCCAAAATGATCAAACCAATGTTAGTATAAAGAAGCTCAGATCTAGAGCTTCATCTGAATTCAGAGGTTCAATCTTGGAATTCCTGGATCCATGATGATGATCCAAAATCATCATCATGATTCTTTATTTTTTGTGTTATTGCTATAATGTGTTATAATTAGACAGACAAAGAGAGGAACCCTAGTAGAGGTAAGCATACAAATTTAAGCCATCCATCCATCCATCCATCCATCTATTTCCTTCCCCTTAATCCATTTCTTGGTTGGGGGGGTGGCAGTCTGAGCTGCACTCAGTACGCTTAGCACCAGCAATATAAGGAAATAACAAAAATGATGGAATAAATAAACAAAAGACAATTTTGAACTTTTTGCGATGGCCTTAGTTCACATCGACATTAGAGAAAAAAAGATCTGATGAAGGCAATGGGGCTATACCTTCACAAATTAAACTAGAAAAGCACCCGAAGAGCACAGACCTCCGCCAAAACTTCCTGGATTCAGATCTGAAAATGTCATAATAATCTTTGGAGTTATGTTGCTGACTACCTAACTAACAAACAGACAAACCCTGGAGATTACAGTACCCATAGCTACAGAAATAATGGACATCTGCAATTTGAAAGTGATCTTGAAACCTTGTTGGTATCCGAGCGCACCAGAGACATAGTTGGCTCTAATTGGCTTTGAGATTTACATTGTGACAACTGGCCTTTACAGCATTAACTTTAATACTTTTTTAAAACTACTTTGTAATACCTTGAATCCCTCAATAAAAATGGATTTCACAACAACCACACACAGACACTTTCTTCCTTCCAAAACACTACTTTATATTGTCTGGAAGAGCATGAGGTCTACTTATCTGATCGACGCAATAAAAGCAATACATACATATTAGTTCTGCAATGTTTTTTTTCTTTCTTAGATGCAAGGAGATGCACACGGATGTCAGTGGAGGCGGTGAAATAAACCTATTGTATAAATGTCACAGCGCGGGACCAGGATGTTGAGGTTTGATGCTCCGAGCTCCTCATCCCTGTCCAGTTTCCATGGTGATAACTCTAAAGAATAAAGAGTGTACGTTGAGCCGTCAAAGAGAGAGGCTGTGCATTTGTGTGCCACCTCCACCTGATGCTTCCTCGCCAACAAAAGCATGCATGTAACTGGAATAACAGCTGTTTTATTGTTTTATAAATGGCAACAACACATGTGAGCTTTTACTTTTGGCGATGGAATAATAAGAGATGACAAATCGGAGACTGTAACATCAATACATAGCCAGTAATCACCATTTTATCTTCTGTTGGTTTGAAGATGCTTACATTATCAGATGCTGTATGTTTCAGTTATGTTTTTGCAAAGGTGGGAGGGGCTGGGAAGAGGCGGGGGCTTGTACAACAGACTGATCACACAACACATGTTTTTGATGGAGGAATAATTGAATAGATTAAAAGGAGACACTAAAATTAACATTGTGATTTCCAATATGTTTCTCTTTTACTGGGGTCCAAGATTACCTTAATAAAAACATGTTCTAAAAGTCAGAAAATAATGAAAAAGTTACAATATTAGTGGTAATTTTCAACCACTTTCATCTGCATTTTGTTATAATATTCCTGCAGCCTCCTAGTAGTGTCTTTTTGGACATTTCCAAGGACATGTTCCAAACCAGGACAGAGCTGCAGCACGTTCACTCGCTCTCACTTGTCTGCTGACGGATGAACAGTCAGATCCACCAGGAAGCAATCGTGGCCCCAAAATATTCCAACCTCCAGCAGTGGTAAAAAAATATATGTGCGAGCGGTGTTTATTTCTCCTGCCTGCGTCTGGAGGAGGGCCAGCTGCTTCAGAGCGATGGATCTGAACTTGAATAGTCCTATGTGTGATTGTGATGTGGGGACACACAGAGGCTCCTACACCAGCTGTCAGGCCTCATGAGACCCCTACACCACAGCATGAGAGGCTGACGTGAGAGGGGAGCGAAGCAGAGGATACAGCTGTGGAATATGTCCACTAACAACTCATGTCTGATGCTGCTCCTGACTCAATTACCCTCAAAGCAGAAATATGTACTAAGACACAATACCACCAAAGATCCCTTTTTCTCCACAGTGTTGCAATGCACTGTGTTGATATAAATATATACATAAAAGTTGATAGAAGTGTTTCAGGAAGTGACTCATGGTATGTTATTTATAATGAAACATGCATTCAGGGGTCGCATACAGGGTACACACACAAACACACACACACAATGACACAACAAAATGACAACCTTCAACCAAGGTTAAATGCAAATAAAAATGTGCACTTTATTTATCCCTGTAGAGAACCCCTGCATTTGACCCATCCTGCAAGTGCCGCTTGGGCCTCTGTCAGGAGCAGTGGTGCCAGGGAACCCATCTCCAAATGGATTTTTTAATAAAGCTGGTGTACCTAACTTTAAAATCACAATTTCAACAACAAATGTTATAGCACCTTTAAATTCTCTCAGTGAAACGACGAAGTCCGCCCTCACTCAGCCAATCAGCTCTCAGTAAGATCAAATGTAGTAAGAAGACAGTATGTTGTGGCCTGTTCAGGACAGGAGAAGCAGAACAGCTTGTTGTAAGCCTTAAACATTATGCTGTGAGATGATCTGTTGTCACTCTAAGTGCTGCTATGGTGTACAAAATTATAATTTATGATAATGAATATTTTGCCCACCAAACAAAAAGTAACATCGGAGGAGGGTGTCATTTATTTCATTATCTTTGACTGGCTGATTTATAACAGCACTCTTTTATGCAGACAGAGTACTGTGGAGTTTTAACATCCACTTCAAAATGGAGAAATCAAGAAAGACATATTCACTGATGAAAGAAAGCAGTTAACTGTTACATAACCTGACTGGTACTATACGTTAATAAAAGAGACATCTCAATGAGAGATGTAAATGGAAAGACAAAATTAATGTGTTCCTCGTTCTCAACCGATGAAACCCAACATATGAGCTGTCAAATTAAAACAAGTTTCATCCAATCCAAACATATAGTTAAAAGCAATTTCACTTCATCAAGCAAAGTGTCACCACAGGAGTGTTGGACGAAAAGGTTTCTCCGCAGAACTGTGAAAATGATGGTCCGTTCCCAACTGTCACATACACAGTGTGAATGCATCACTGACCTTTTGCACCGGCACACACTGGCAGCACAGGGAAAAAGAATGAATCCGGCAGTGTATTTATGACTATTGTAAGGGAATAGTTCTTGAATGTCTACCTGTTTGGCATGGT